GGAGAGATGGACGAGGAAGGCCTTGGTCTTGGGGTGGTTCTTTGCCCGAAGACTGGAAAGGCTCCCTAGCCGCCCTAGCTGTTTAATGCATAGATAGGACAAATCATTCATACTTTCACTGTGTGGTCTGTGTTTCTAGCTGCTTTTGCAATTAAATGAGGTATTGACAGATGCTGCTGTTCTTCAACGGCTCCGTCGCATGTGCAAACGACGCAAATCTGGCAAAGTGCCAGGGGGAGAAGATGCTTTCAAAAAGTACCAGGATGTGAACAATCGCAAGGAGTTGGCACATGCGCTAGTGAACTCTGGCTTCGAGCAGGACCCTTACAGTACTGTCTTTCAATACCCGTGAAGTGAATTACTTAAGTCTTCTGCCCACCCTAACAGAAAGCCTTCGCCTCCATGGTCACGAAGATGACCATCGTCGAGAATGAGAAGAGCCTCAAGGTTCAGGCTGGATGGTATACGGCTGCAGCCATGAAGGATGAGCTGGGCTACGATGCGAAACTTGATGGTGCATGTGAGTTCTCGCACAATAAACCCTGCAATTGCTATATGTGCCATGCCACTTCAATGCCAACTGAGGAAGATGATCAAGAAGATCGTGGACTACTGTGGCCTCAACCCAACGAAGCTGGTACGGACTCTTGGCACCTACGGTTTCTGTGTGCTCTACACTTGCCTTGCAATGATGCATGTTTCTAATCAAAGACCTGAGAACATTTTTCTTTCTGAGGCCATGGAAGTATGACACGAGTTTGAATCAGTATTGGGTTGAGACGCATTGGTCTGGAGAGATCACGAAGAAGAATATCGATCGCACCACGAATGAGCGTACCGAGGAGGTGCTTCAACTACAATCATGCATGGGTCTTATAGGCACAAAGCCTCATCGATTGGACCCCCCGAAACCTTTTCCTAGAAACCCGTGGTTACAACCAAGGAGCCTGAGAATTCCTAATACAATCCTTTAGACCCGTGCTAGTATATATATATATATATATATATGCCTACATCCCCAAAAAAGTCCTAAACCCCTATAAACCCAAAACCTCCGAACCCATAAACCCCTATAAGCCTTGCAAGCCAGAACACCACACATCCACTCTAGTTTCCTCTTCAAGCCCTATGACCCTGCAAATTTGGCTGAACCCTGCAGGCTGATGGTACCCTCCCAGTGGTGGAGACAACCTTCGATGATCAGCCCCCGGGACCAGCTGCTGAGGAGGGTGGTTTGGCCGGGGCGGAAGTTACTTGGCTATAGGGTTTGGAGATAATCCCCTAGTGAAGCTGTGCCAATTATCATGCAAAACAGAAGGCCCTGTAAACCCCATTGCCAATCAACTCCGAATGCCCAGGATCCCCGTACGATGCTCGATCGGGGCTTGGCTGAAGTTTTATCGAAGGTGTTGAGACACCGTGATCTGGCCGACCAGCTGCTGAAGCCCAAAAATCCAACTCCCAATGATCTGCACGAGAGGCTATCAAGGGTGGGCTTGTGTAGGGTTTCGGGAGGGATATAGTATACAGGAGCTATATAAGTTATTGCTGGGGTTAGGGTTTGTAAAATATTTAGGCTCTCAGGCTCAGGCTCAGAGCAACCAATAAGCTGCATGCATGGCTCCACCCTGAGGCTGGCGGGTGAGCTGCAATCTCATGCTGCAGCATTGGAGCGCCACTATGACAATATGAGTATGATCAAAGCAACTGCCTCCCTACGCATGACCCCCAAGCTTCCTGGTGTGGCAATATGTAGATGCACTCTCTGTGTTTCCTGCATCTAACCACCTAGTCTTTTCAAAACGAATCGAGGCTGCATACCGAGATTGACATGTCTATCGAGACGGCTTCTGTCCTGTGACTGGGTTGCAAATCACTCCTGGGAATACAGTTCGATCACTAGAGGCCTTACTTATCATCATATTAAACTAATCATATTCATTATAGACGTGTAATCCCGACCAGGCCTTTATCAGGATTAAAAGATGTGGGCTTGAAGGTTACCGGGTTTGGGGCAATATTATATGGTTTATGATGATCGAGGGGCTTAGGGCCTTTGAGTTTTTGTTGGAGTAGGTTGTGTAAACTATACAGGGCTTCTTGATCTGGCCTGGAATTCTTCGTGGGCCCCCTAAAATCCTAAACCTGATTGTTATTTTTAAGTTTCATGCAGAACTCTATTCAGTGCCGAAACATAAACTTTAAAAAATGATAGACCGTTCGAGCCATGTTAAGTCTTTCGAAACCCAAGCCCTGATCGACTCCCTATGAACCCAGAACCCGATCTAAATTAATTAAATAAACCTGATACCGTTTAGATCCCTAAAATCCCTTGTAGTCCTACCTGGCCAACCCACCTCTTTCATCCCAGGGCCGTCCAGGCGGTCTCAATCGAGAACAAGGTGACGCCAGTTCTGACAGAGCTGCAGAAGGCGCTCAAGGACAAGGAGAAACCGGGAAATGAGGGACACTCCGGGGCCCCACCGGCTTCTGCTGTCAATAATAAGCCCAAAGCCAAAGCTAAAGGAAAGTCCAAAGCAAAGGCGAAGGCCAACTAGTTTTGAACCGTATGCATGGCTCTTTGCAGGCCAGAGCCAGTACGTTATGTGTACAACACTATCTACAGATACTGATGTTACGTTATTCACCAATGTGTTGCTCCACTGGTCTGCTGCTACACGGCTGGTGCTTGCATCTTTCGCACTGCAGCACAAAGCCCTGCTTTTGTGAGCCTGATATGCTTTGATCGGTGTAGTACTGACCACACTGAGAGCTTTGGGATGATGGTGACGTCGCGCGAGATGAAAACACAATGAATGCAGTCTTTCTGCCTGTATGTGAGTGCTGAGAAACCTCATACATATGTGTGCTGTGCTTTCCCTGATATATCCATGCCAGGTCAGGCTGGCAGACTCGGCAAAGAAGCTGCCAAGCAGTTGGTTCGAGGGGCCTTTGCCTTGGAGCCATGCTGCTCTGTTTTGCTTGAGTTGCGAGCTCATGTTGGTTTTCGAGCAATATCTACCGATCTGTCTCAGGTTCGTGCAGTTGTTTAGTTAAGTGAGACAAGCATACCAGAATCGAAAGCCGCCAGAAGCAACAATCCCTGAACCTACGCAAACCACAACCCCGGGCTTTGGACCCAGTGAGGTATATCGCTTATGTAGAACAACCAACCTAGGTAAAGGTTACATATGTCTATATATATATATATATATGCATATACATGTATATATATATATATAGAAACCTCGAAGCCCTAGAAATCCCGAAGCCCCAATCAGCTCTGTAGACCTCGCAAACCAAGGCTTAGACATTCCTTTGGGTATAAATTAGTCCAATTCGTCTATATGTACATGTGTGTATAAATATATGTAGTATACAGGTTTAGAAAACCTAAGTATACTTGATATGGTTATTGTCACCCGAATTACTATTGAAAAACTATAGATTGATTCGGTCAATGTCGTAGCCGCCGCCATGGATGAGTGGTTCGATGAGCTCCTAGTGTTTCCAAAACGACAGACACCTGGCTTCGAATTTATGCCATCGAACAAATATAAATCATAACCCATTCCTGTGCGCACACTGCCCTGCCTCAAGGAAGAGAGCGATCGAGCCTGGGAGCAAGACCGTGATGAGCAACTGGACTCAATTATATAGACGCTTGGGGATGGCTGCATTGAGGAAGGGGCACCCTGATCAACATAAGGCACCAGTGATGACAAATCTTCAGTTCATTGGAGATATCACAAGTACATGTCTGCAGAGCTTCTCAGCCTACCAGACATTGCAGAGACTTGGGATGGAATCTTGCAAAAGAGAGATCTGCTGAAGATTACTTTGCCTGATGTTAAATCTGTTGGCAAGACACCTGGCAAGATCTTTGCCCATGCTGAAGCGATGGTCGAGATAGTGCCTCGGCTTTCGGCAGTTATGGTTAATACTGCTCCCGTGCCGACAATTGTGTCGAAAACGATTTGGACTTGATCTGCTGAGGTTCTGCAGTCTGTTGGTTGTGCAGTTTTCAAAGTGGGCTTTACCCATGATCCTGTTCGGCGGGTGGAAGGCTACTGCGACGAAGGATATCATCGGATGCATCTGTTGTACATGTCAGCAGACAGCACGATGTGCAAGTGTTTGGAGGCTCATTTAATTCGGTTGTACAGACGGCGACAAGGTTGCCATAATGATAACCCTGGTGGCGAGGGGCCAGACCACTTTCCTTCAGCCTACTTCGTGTACATTGCAATCAAACATGTGCTCTAGTCGAGATCTCCGAGTGTGAAAAAGATCGATTGCAGAATCGTTGATGTCAGTCGCAAGCATGCATGAGCAAAGCACTGCCATCGACTATAGGTTTGCTTAACAAATGCCAATCTCACATCCGCTGCTGAGGCCACTGGGACTACTATCTCTGGCTTCGTGCGGGCTGCAACTGCTGATCCCCGACGCTCCGGTGACTCCCTGCTTGATGGGCTAGCGAAAGCTTCAGAAAATCGGCTAGAAGATACAGGGCATGAGCTGCGACTAAGCTGCATCCACATCATCAGATCATCAGCTGGAGCTTGCTCTTGATGAAGTCCGCACCAGGATCCCACACAACCCCTTTTAACCCTGCTCAGATAATACTAACACAATTGAAGCACCCTATACAAACCTGTTGAACCTCAGGAGCATCCTGAGAGTTGGGGTTTTCCGTAGAATGCGAAGCCATAGATGTCGTCAACGATCTGCTCTGGGCTCGTCGGGAGATTCAGAGCTGGAGGTCCATGGGCTTACAACGCACAACTCTTTCACACTCAGCGGCAAACACATCCGTCCTCTAGACTGGTATCGTCTGCTACAGTGGCATGTCGAACTGTGCCTATACATGACTGACATGTCACATGAGGGGTCACCCCTCTTCAGATCTGAGCCTTCTAGGCTCTGCGGGAGTGCATCAGCTCTCACAGCTTCTACACTCCTCCTCAGTCGCATCGTTCTTTAAGAACGGAAGACTGCTATGTTCTTCCGTCCCGCAGAGCCTGCAAACAGTAACGACACAGCATTCTGTCTTGAACTCCAGTAGAGTTTCGCAAGGCCTGGCAGGAACGAAAGAGGTGCAAAGCTCCAGGTGTTCTGCTAGAAGTCGTGATCATATGAAGCTCGCACAGCTCTTCAAAGTTAAATCCACGATCAAATGTAGTTTGTGTTGATGCATCCTTCTTAACCTGCTCCGTTCGTTCAGAACCACTACTCGGGAGAAAGGAACGGGGCCTCGGCTGCCACGAGGAGGCTGCCTCGGTAGAGACAGGAAGTCCACAAAACTCACGAAGTCCATCGGGTTGGGTTACCGGAGTGGATACCGGGTTTCCCGGAGGCGAAGGACGAAATCCATCGGTTGGCGGTCCCGGGAGGAACGCCAGGTCATTGGCTGATTGGGCGGTCTGAAGTCCATCAGTTGGGGGTGCTGGAATAGGCACCGAGCCGCTGGGCGGCAAAGGAGGTGGTGGAGGAGAGGGGCCTGTTATAACGGCACTGGGCTGCGCTTCAACCTGCACTCGTAGATAAGAAGAACCCACTTGCAACGTCTGGTAAGCCTCTGCTTCTGAGCCCTGAGCTGACCTATGCCTGAGGCCTTCTCCCTGCAACTCCCGTGCAATTGCCCTGCGAACCACCTCTTCTCTAGAACCCCTACGAGCTCTAGGAACCGAACTGTCATCGGCACTCAACATCCTCACTTCAGGTTCATCATCTTGGCGGCTGCAACAAACCCTTAGTCCATATCTCGCAGACTCCCACACAAATAGAACCGAAAGGATCATCAGCAACACCAACAGGGGTAATTCCAATCCCAAAGGTTCCCCTTCAGAATCATCTTCCTGCACAGACTGGGTTTGCTCTATTTGAAGCAACAGCATTAAGGCAAACAACCATAAGCCTAATCTGTCCCTATCTGTCGAACCCTGCGAACCAAAACAAGCTGTGGGCTGTTGGCTCGGCTTGTCCTCCCGAGTCTTCACCTGATGAAGAGGCGGTGGGAGACTCACAGCAGCTACACTGGCTTCTGGAGGGATCCTAGGGGGGCCTAAACCCAAAAGCTTGCAAAGGTCATCAAGCCGGGACTTCATTAGGGCCTTAGTGAGGCAGTCGGCTAATTGAACGTCCCCCGGACAGTGGGAGACGTCAATCTCATTGCGGTCTATCATATCCCGAATGAAAGCCGAACGTACTCGCAAATGTCGAGTTCGCTGGCTTCCCTCACCACCCGCCAGCGTCACCGCGGCGGTGTTATCAATCATCAAATGCTTGCAACACGGGCCTTCCTCAAGCTCAACAATCAAAGCTTCAAGCGACTGTCCTAAGACTACGCCTTCACAACCCGAGACCAACTCCGATTCAGCGGTGCTTAGAGTTACGATGCTCTGGCGCTTTGATTTCCAAACTACACAGCACTCGTCATACATAAGAGCTATGCCGGTAATTGAGTGGCTTCCGTGCGGTGCGAATGACGCGTCTGTAAAGATTCGGAGTCCGTCGGCCTTGCCGGGGATTAACATCAGCCTGTTAGACCTGGTATTCGCTAGGTACTCAAGAACCCTGGTCCCTATCTTCAAGACCTGCCTTGGAAACCGGGCTACCCAGCTGGCCATGAGACCCACACAGTAACTGATATCCACTCGAGACCTCTGAGCCACCCAAAGCAGCTCACCAGTGATGCGCTGCGATGCTCGCAACTCACCTTCTGAGAACTGTTCCTCAGGTGGAACTTCACGCACCCACTCCTTAGGAACTGGCGCTGTAGCCCTTGAGCTGGGCTTCACTTCATGATTTCGCAACAGCTCTGCTATGTAGGACTCCTGTGCTAGGCTGTATCCAATAAGGTCGCCGGTGTCATTCAGCTCTGCATAAATGTCCACCCCAAGGAAACGCAGTGGATCTGATGAGGTCGCCTCTTTCAGACCTGTGCACTCCCAGGATTGCCTTAGCCAGCCAATGAAAGATTGCGCCACTTCTGGTTCTGTCAACAGTAGCATATCGTCCACATATACCAACAAGTGTCCAATACAGTAGCCGCTCTCGTGCCTCATGCGCCAAACATTACCTTCAGACGAGAACTGCTCAAGCGTGACTTCACCCAGCTCGGTACTCCACTTTGCCTTAGCCAGGAAATCGTCTCTGAACAGTGACCACCAGCGCGGGCTTTCTCTAAATCCATAGAGCGCCCGGTCTATGATCCAAACCTCGTCCTCCCGCGCCAGCTCAAGCTCGATCAAGAGACGTGGCGGGCGCATCGCATAACGCTTCGTTACTCCCTCTGGAATCGAAGCCAGGAGAAACGCTGACTTCACGTCAAGACCAAATGCACGACGGCCGCGTCGGGCCGAGTGTACCAGCAATGCCCTCAGAGACTCCGCGCCGGCTCCACCAGCATAGAGCTGAGACTCAGCTGTGGTCTTCGCGAAATTCCCACATGACACGATTCTGAACTTTCTTTTGTAAGGCTCACCAGGTTTCACCGTACATACAGGTTTCCCAGGAATAACTTCATATTTCGGATCTCGGAGAATGGCACGGGCTTCATCACCGTAAAACCTTCGTATCACACTCATCTTTTCGAAGGTATCCAGCTCGGCTTTCGCAGCGGGGCGCCACTTTGCCAGATTCAGACGGACTTCAGCTGGCGATACGTTGTGTGTCACCTCCAACGGGCCCTTCAAACTGGATAGCAGGTCTTCAACGTTCAAGGTAAACCCTCCTTCATCAACTCGTCGAACAGATGGTTCAGGCTGCACGGTGCGACCCCTTCTACCTAGACTCAACAAAGGATCCGTGGTTGGTACGTCAATGGTCACTGGGGGACTCGTGGTAACACGGTGCTCTGACTCAGGAGCCTCACCTGACTGCTCAACGGAGCTATCTACATCGCTCAAAGGACCAGCAAGATGAACCGTCATACACCTATATACATCCAAGGACTGTGATGGGGTTGAATCCGTCGGGTCTTCACTAGACTCTTCCGACGGTGCATGCTCAGCTGGGCAAACCACCTCACTAAGAGTGCGCTCCTCTGGCTTCTGATCAACGTGCGAACCTGTAGGCACCTGGGAGCTGGAGGAAGCTGCTCCAGCACTTGGTACCCACTCATCATCACCCCACATCTCTTGCATATACATAACGTGGTTATAGCAACTACCCCCTGTACAAGCAGTAGTACCCTCGGGCACAGGGTCTGGGAAACTCAGGTTCCCTGAGCGTGGCTGTGATGGGGTTGAATCCGTTGGGTCTTCACTCGACACTTCCGAAGGAACGTCCCACCTTCTGCTTGACTCAGCTACATGAGAATTTCCTCGTCCCCTTTGCAAGGCATCAGGTTGTCTTATCCCCAGGTTGGGCAACGGCGGTCCAGGGCACCTAACACCTAAGGTCCTATTCTGAAAGATCCAGGGGATCTGCCGCTGTGCCTTATCAAACACTCGAACCTCCCCCGTCGTAAGGCTAGAGTTCTGCGGGTTGTCCGGCCTACGAGTGCCCGGAGGATGTATGTCTATCATGATTCGGTTGGAAAGCCACTCTGGGATCCCATGCTCAACCAAATCTTCAACAAACAGAAACTGAAGATCATTCGGCTCTTCAATTCCCAGTGCCTTCAGTTGGCGATAAGCCTGACTTGCGTCCCGAGCGCGGAGGTAAGCGTCAAGCTCTAGGCCCTCCAGATACTCATGAGGAACATCCCCAGGATTGCCAGCACTAAAATCCCAACCAATCATAGTTGAGTTAGTGTCCTGCTGTAGGTCGGACGACAACATGCAACTCTCGGCTTCAGCAATTTGCCTCGACAGCTCAGCTGAACTTATGCTGGATTCTGAAGTATCCTCAGAACTCGTGGACACTACCTTCACCTGATAGGCCACCGAAGACTGCACCTGGATCTCACTCACCTCTTGCTCCTCCTCAGACCCGGCAGGCGGTTCTTCGGAATCACTAATCCTAACCACTTTCGCTCCAGGCTCCGTGCTCAACAACTCCAACGGGAACTCACAGGAATCCAAATAAACCAACTCCCCTTGATCAAGCTTACTCGTTCCTAAGGGGGTGTACCCTACCAACAACCATGTCGGGCTCATGCGTACAGCATGGTGCTTGCGAGGGTTAAAGCTTACTGGAATCTCAGTGAGCACTCGGGTCTCACCTGGGGCCCAAGTCGGGGTTGGGAGAACGGCTCCCTTAGCACCCTCGGTGGTCGTTGGTTCAACCCACAAATGAACCTCACCGGGAACATGCATGGCATAATTCATCGTTCCCCATTCATTCCTCCAATCACGATGAACATCCACATCACTGGCTGTCATCAACATCAAGGCGGACCACGTCGGCTTACCCTCATTTGAGCTTAGGCACAGCCGAAGGGAAAGAGCACGATTCAAGAAGCGGGTTGTCCACGGCTTCCTCCTCGTAAGGGTGGTTACCCCTCGAATGCCTCCATGGCAGTACGCTCCCAAAATCTGTCTTCCCTGAACTATGCCTCTTCGGTCTCCGGTACTGTCCTCCTCCTGAGCAATGGCATTAAGCACACGGCGGACAGCATCCAGGCTACAGTCCTGGTGGATTAAAAACCCATGTGCAAGCTCCTCAGATGTAGGGAAGTCCAGACATTCAAGAAACCTTACCGAAGTCTTTTCCCTCAACCTTCTCAGGGGTCTTCCAGCCTCATCCACAGCCTCACTCAAGGGGGGCTCAGCAGAGTCCTCTTCCTGAAGGATGGGTAGTTCAAGATCCTTAAGCTGGGTCGGGTCTATAACCTCGGACTTAAACCCGCGAGAGGCCACAAGGTTGCCTGCATCAGTAATCAAGACATGGCCTGTTGGTATTGAGCGGTGTGGTGCACCATAACGGGCTTCCACCCACCGATCCATCAATTGCTTGGCCCCATCCGCCGGACGTTTAATGCGGTGCAATACGCGCTGTCCAAACGCTGGCAGCTCCGGCTCACCCAAAATCATCAAATTATGCTTAGCCACAGCCCATCTGGCCGCTAGTGGCCACCAACCCACAGGAAGGGCAGCAGCATTGAGCAGCGTACGAATGCGCGACTTGACCCAACCTACGGTACGCTCTGAGAGTCCATTGCCCTTCTTATCAGTCGGTAGCGAATGCTGTACTCGGATAGCATGTTGGGCTAGCCAGCGGCTTAGGGCTGCTGATCCGAACTCAGTGCCCGGATCATGATGTAGACTTCGAATTGGAAACCTTTGGTTTATCTCTAAGATCATTTTCTGTAGCGCTTCCGAAACTTCAACCCCTGTCTTCGTCTTGAGTGGAATGAAGTATCGGAGAACCACCTGGTCGGTAGGTTCCCTCAGCTCACTGATCAACTTGGTTAGCGCTTGGGGATCACTCGGGAGATCCTCCTCATCAAGGAGAGATGGTTCATGCCCACTGGGCACGGCCTCAGAATGCTTCACCTCAGGAGAATCCACGGGAACCGGTGAGTGGTTCGGGGGTTCTCGCTGGGAACCGAAGAGCTCCGGAAATAACTCTGGCTCCTCCTCAGACGGCTCGTAATCTGCTAGTTCGCTGTCTTGTGGAGGGATAGGGGGTTTGCTGAAGAGGTCAGAGACACCATTCTTTCCTGAAGGCGCATTCACAAGGCATGACGGGACTCTAAACGCACCCACAAGCCCGTATCGCAGCACCGGCTTCCCAGTCACACAGCCCTCATCTCTACCTACCTCCTTCAAAGGAACCGGGCCAAACAAGTCGACTGAGAGAGCGAAGCTTCTCGGAAACTTTATACGCCTGTGAAAGGGGCCCAAGCCTGAACCCTCCACACATTGACGACAGTCCCTACGATAGGGTAGGTGTCCGTTACGGAGATGCCTTTTCCAACCCTCGGTTTCAGCGCTGGTGAGCTTGGGCATACTTGGCACGGAATCCGAGGCTTCATGAGGGGGTTCAGGTGAGTCCGGGTCACCCTCATTCACTTCACCTGAATGGACGAGTGGTGGATCAAGCTCTGCTTCCCGGAGATCCGGGGCTTCTTCATCATCAGAATTTATGACACTTTCAGCTTCAAATGCTCTGAGCATAGCCTCCAGCTCCTCATCCGGAACGCGAGGAGGTTCCTGCGCAGTCGAGGGCACCGGACCTGGGAGGTCCTCAGGTGGAACCGTGCGTGGGTCAATGCTAGGAGGGATCAGCCCTCCGCGCTCAGCGATTACACGGTCCAACTCTTCGCAAGACGGTCCTGAAGGGTTTCCTACAAGAGCCTTTGCAAGTTCTACCCGAAGACCATAGGTCCACTCCCGTCCCCTTGGCGGTGTCGCAGGATTGCCCTTCGGATCTAGGGTACTCAAATAACCGATATCCAAATTGGTGATCAAGGAAGTTGGTCTCAAGTACTCACCTCCAAGCGACCCTTGACTCAACGTAACACATTTGGTTCCCGACCACTTCATGAACCTCGAACTCACCTCAGCAAGAATCCCTTGATGCTCTGCCACATAAGGAACCCCACATCCTCTGGTTACAGAAGCCAGTGACCACAGCAGCATAGCCTGCACCGTGAACAACTGGGCTTCATCGGCCCTTGCAGATGGTGGAGAGGAGAACACCGCAGCAACACGTCCCTGAGAGGCAGCCCACAGGAGTACCTTCCATACGCCATCTTGTTTGGAAAGGTCCCAACCCTTACCTCCTGGTTGCATCAGATCAACCTGAAGATAGGTGAACCCTCCTTGCAGTGCCCATGCATTCAAGGGGTCCTGCGCTCGGGCGGGGCCACTACATAGGTGAACAACCCACTTGGTCGAATCCAGAAGAGATCTTCGGGCGGCTCGCTTCAAGGGAAGGAGCTTCAGCAGAGAACGGTCTGACCCGGGATGGCTCGTTGGGACCTCCTCCGCCAGAGCAACCTTTATCTCCTCAGGAAGGCCAGCAAGATAAGGCTGAGAGAGGAAAGCCCGAAGGGCGTCAAACCGGGTGCCAGTGGTGGCAAAGCGCCCTAAGGAACCGGTTGGATCCGGAGGGGCGTCATACGACTCCAAATGACACTCAAGGTTCTGGATTCTCTGCTTAAACCTTTCCAACCTCTGATCTTCAAGTTCCGAAATCAACTTGAGCGCTTGGTCCTCGGCCACATAAGGACACGTGTTATCAGATATTCGAGTGTTCAAGACACCCAGAGTTGGGTGGATCACTCGGAGTCCCTTTCGCCTCGACCAATGCACCTGGCACCCCAAGGACTCGACAAGCCAAGTGGTAGGATGGTCTGCACGGGCTTATGGCTAGGGGATTCAGGGTCCGGAGGCACCACCAACGTGCCGCCCTGGGTTCTCAACCACTCCTGCTTCTCGTCTCCTGCCAAGGTGACGGGGACTTTCTCAAGGTTTTGAAGGCGGGTGTGGTATGGAATTACCGCATGCGTCGCCCCGCTGTCCAACAGAGCAACTCCCTTATCAGAATCCGACTTGCCTTCCTTGCAAATCCTTGCCTCAAACTCATCGGCCTTCTGACGCATCTCCTGAATCTGCGCTCGTATCCCTTCCAGCGAGGACTCCTTCGATCCCTGAACATCCCGGTTATCCTTACTCTCCTCATACCCCCTGAAAACCGGAGCCTGACAAACCTTCACCTCTGGATCCCTAGTCATTGCACGGAGCGTATCAAGCTGAGCGCTTAGGGAGGCAAGGGTGATTGGGGTGCCTTGGACCGTGGCCCCAGGACTCGCCTTGGGCGACGGTTCAGCAACCTGAGCCTGAACAGGGTTGGTCACGGTGCCACTCGGGGCGCCGTTCGGTGCTGGAACAGGGTTCGGCATCGCTTGCTGAAGCATTCGGGCCGCGTCTGCCAGCATACTCTTAATCTGCTGTTGGCTCGGATCTCCGGTCACAGGTGGCGGAGGAGGGTTAGGAGTTGACCCCGGGCCATGCTTAGGGGGTGGAGCCTTAGCCTTATTCTTAGCCCTGGCGTCGTCTTGCTTTGCTCCAGCCCGACACTCCGAGGACTTATGGGTCTTTCCTCCGCAGTTCTTACAACGCTGTGCCTTTTCAGCGGACGTAAAACTGTTCCAATCATGCTCATATGAACAATCGGCTCCCTTCTTACATCCGTTATGGCCTGCATAGAACGAACACGGAGTCCTCACCGAAGCGCCAGCTTCGGGGTTGCCAGCTGACTTCGCTCCCGGAGGTCCCTTTGGAGGGCTCTTTGGAGGCTTCTTGGGAGGTGGGGGTACTGAGTTGGTCCCAGCTTCAACACCCTTAACCTTGGCCGGTGTAGCGGAAGAATCCTTCGGAGTCTTATCCTTATCTCCACGATGGGCCATAGCTTCTAGTTCCCCAAGAAGTTGTGCATGCAGTTTCTGGACTTTATCGTCATCCGGAGTGAGGTCTACTTGCAGGGAAGCACGGATTAAGTTGATCCTAAACGCTACCTCAGGATATTGCGAGAGGACGTTTCGGCAGATCTTCGAAAGAGCACGGACCTGCAGGGAACTGTCGGGCAACACGCCCCCGAGCTCCGTCATACGACGGCACCAGCGACCCCACTTTCTAAGCAGATCCACAGCTTCCTGCACGGTACTCCCCACAGGGGGGTCGGTAATATGCTTCAACCCTAGTTCGCGCTCTGTCAAGCTGCCCGGCCCGTAGATCACAAACAAACGACAGAGCAGGGGAAGAAGTCCTGATGTTCTCGACGCGCTCAACTCGTCCTTGATTGCCTGAGGCGACGCAGTGATTATCATGGTTTCAATGCGTCTCGCAACCCTCGACCACTTGGGCTGTGCAAGCTCCTCAGATGGACGAGGTTTGGCTGTTAGACGGGAGAGCGGATCCATTTTCAAGTACTTCGTGTACCACTCCTGAGCCTCCTCAACTGTTTTGGTCCACAAAACCTCCGAAGAATCCGAAATGTCTGCCAAAGCCGGTCTTGAAGCATGAAGCCAATCCGCAAAGCTCAGGCAGGACTCCGGACCATGTGGTGGGAGTTCCGGGAGGCTTACAACCCCTGGCTTAATAACCTCAGGCCTAGAATCACCCTTAGGGCTAGCCATCTCCTTAACCACACTTTGCAACTGGGCCATTCCACTAAGAACTATCGTCATAGGGTCTAGGTCTTGGTTGCCTACAGACAGCGGAGCCTCGGCCGTCGCAGGGACGGCGCCAGTCCCGGCTCCTTCAAGCGTAGGTGTGGTTACTCCTGGATTATGGCAGCTGCTTCCTGGGTCTTTAGGGCAAGGGCTTAAGAAGGCCTGGGATTGAGTTGGATTCCCAAGGCCCGGCACCGACTGCGTAGGGTTTCCTAGCATCGGGGTAGGCGGCATAGGGTTTCCTACCGTCGGGGAAGGCTGCACAGGGTTTCCTAGCGTCGGGGAAGGCTGCACAGGGTTTCCTAGCGTCGGGGAGGGCTGCACAGGGTTTCCTAGCGTCGGGGAAGGCTGCATAGGGTTTCCTAGCGTCGGGGAAGGCTGCATAGGATCTTGTTGATTATCAGTCAACCTCCCTGTTATCATTGTTGAGGGCTGAGGAACCGAGCCTAAACCAAAACTAGGGGTCCTTGGTGGCGGAGGGATTGGTACAGGAGCTTCACTCGGCGCCCCATTCATCAAGAGGTCCTGGGTTAGCAGTGCCCGAGGAGAGGGCTGAGGCCTAGGGCCAGAAGATGCTATCAGAGGAGGCGGTGGAGGAGGCGGATAGGCCTGGGAGCCGTCAAAATCCAAGGCTCGCTCAGGTCTGGCTTGGCCCATCAAGGTTCCCAATCCTCTTCCCAACCAACCTAACCTCTGAAACCCAGACATAACCCCTTGAGTAGGTCTAGAAGAATGCATCGCTACCTGAGCGTCGTACTCGGCCCTCATTCGAAGGCCGTGGTTTTCCATTGACAACGCCTCAACTTGTGCACGCAAACGCCTACTTTCTTCATCTCTAACCGCCATCAACTCACTAAGTTGCCTACGCACTTCCGCTTGAAGCTCACTGGATGCCGTCGAAGGTGGCCTCGGAGCTTCCTGCCCCATGGACAGAGTTGGATCCATCCCGTCAGCCACCCGGAGTCCAGCGGAGTCCCGGGAAGATCCCGCATACAACAGAGGAGCAGTTTCTTGCATCTGCTGCATTCTCATCAAGGTCGGCACATCGAACAGCGGTAACTGAAGTTCCGGCTCCAAAGGCGGTGCCGGTGGTACTTCCTCTACCATAGATCGCACCGAAGCATACTCCACGCTATCGTGTTGGCCTGGACTGAAGCGTCCAGCGGTTGATCGGGTCATCATGCCTTCCACAGTAGCTGGCAAGGTCTGAACTGCTCTCAGCATCCCAGTCAGCATACCGGTCTGTTGCCCGGTCTGTTGTCCCGCTGCCACTGCAGTCTGAGGCCTTCCCGAGCCTTCAAGTGTAGATGGCAGGCGAGTGGGCAAGGACTGTGATTGAGCCCCTCTCACTGGCCCTCCAAGACCCAGATCAGGGGCCGCGGCTGGGATCCCGGCCGCAGCTTCCTGAGCTCCTTCCATCATCGGAGGAGAGGTCGTAGTAGCGGCTCTCTGGGTCGCTGCCACCACTTCTCCATCCATATCGTGGCCCCCCCTCAACGGTGGGCCCACGCCATTCATCATTCGAGGTCCTTGATCTGCTCCATCATCTTGCGAAGCAGTAGCGTTTGGGCGTCTCATAACCTGTTGAACCTCAGGAGCATCCTGAGAGTTGGGGTTTTCCGTAGAATGCGAAGCCATAGATGTCGTCAACGATCTGCTCTGGGCTCGTCGGGAGATTCAGAGCTGGAGGTCCATGGGCTTACAACGCACAACTCTTTCACACTCAGCGGCAAACACATCCGTCCTCTAGACTGGTATCGTCTGCTACAGTGGCATGTCGAACTGTGCCTATACATGACTGACATGTCACATGAGGGGTCACCCCTCTTCAGATCTGAGCCTTCTAGGCTCTGCGGGAGTGCATCAGCTCTCACAGCTTCTACAAAACCCTATAGCCCTGTATCTATATAGTCTATATATTTATATATAGATTCAATAGTCGATAAACACATGTATATATATATATATGTACACATAGATCGAGATTATAGAAGTTCTAGGTCGGCTCTTCAGCCACGTTCCGGAGAGGCCAAAATAGACCATGTAAAACCCTTACCCAAATCCTAAACCCCAACCCGAAACCTATTAGACCCAAAACCACAACCCCAAAACCAAAACGTCAGGTCAAAAGGTTACGACCCTTAACATCCCTAGATCCCTTAAGCCCTGCAGTACCCTATAAACCTAAAACCGATGTAGACCCCTTAAAGGATCGAGCCCTTAAGGATCCCTTGTCGGAACCCCTCTAGAAACCCTTACAGCGGACTCCCTCTTAAGCACTCTACTGCTGCCCAGGGAAGTTAAGGGATGCCGGGTTCTCCTAACGTGTTTCGTTTCGAGTTGTCTTTATGGTTTTTCGGGTAAGTTGCTAGTAAGTCGAGACTGGGGTTGTGTAAGGTGTATACATGCATGTGTGCTAGTCTAGATTCTATAGATACATGTGCATGTGTCTAAAGTGTGTATTATGGGTGTCACAAGCCGTATGAGATGAAGCCTCTTCCTGCCTTGTAAGAACACTTTAAACCTTTGTGGCAGCCTTTTCCGAGCACTCAGGTTTAAAGAGTTTGGCCTGGCACTGGATGTTCCGATCTCCTATGTCAACGTGGGGGACAGCAACTGTGACCTGCCAATGATTAGACCCAGCGATTTGTTTCAACACCTTGCGGACCTGGGCAAATTGGACCTCCTTTTCGGCCAACAGCCAGCAAGTGTTTTACCTGAATTCTGGAGTCGTTTTCAGGAGGTGGAGCCAAACAATACTGTTCATGCTGCCTTCGCTGCTGGTACAATGCACCCCGATCGAACAATACCAATGGTCATTCATGGGGATGAAGGCCGTGGAAGGAAACGACTTCCAGTCATGGTAGTCAACACCCATGGCCTGATCGGTGCAGGATGCAAGGCCTTCCATGAGTTTCACAAAGATGCACCCAGAATGCAGGAACAGGCTATGCCTGTAAACATCAAGGGCCACTCGATGGAGACACGCTTTCTATCATTTGTACTGTCAAAGAAATCATATGGCACCGACTGCTCATACTTGATGCGGATGTTCGAAGCACTGGTCGAGGATCTATGCAAGCTTTCAACAACCGGGATCCAGATCAAGTCGAAGTCTGGTGTCGAGACGTGGCATTGTGCATTTATTGGAAGTGTTGGAGATCTACAGTTTTTTGCGAAGGTCGCAAGCCTCACTCGGTCCTATACCCACGTGAGCAAGCGCAGTGGACAGCAAGCAAAAAATGGGCTCTGCCACCTTTGCCTTGCTGGCAAACCTGGCTGGGACTATGAAGACTTCAGTGACAATCCTGCTTGGTTGCGGTCTGTTGGGATTGAGCCCCCCTGGGAGAGCCCTCCGGATTTGATCTTTCGATTATTCCACGATCCTGGAAATGCTGGGGGGTTCCTGAAGCCAGACCTCTGGCACTGCCTGCACTTAGGGTGTGGAAAGGTGTTTCTCGCCTCTGCTCTGGTGGAATGGCTCCCTTTTCTGCCAGGCCTCCTGCCTTCAAAGCCATGGATTCTGGAATAGTTTTTAATTCTCTATGTGTTTATGCTGGTTTTATTCAGGTTCCCCAGAACATAAAATTAGTCTATTTGGGTGTTTTCTTTGTTCGATAAGACCCTTAAGAGTTTTCCAAGGGTAGTCGTTTGTTAGTACGTTTCCTGGAAAACAAGTTTGGGTCGTTTCAGTGCGATAGGGTACAACAAACAACACTCAGGAAACAACGTCCAGGAGAGGTTTGCATATCTGGATGAGCACGCGCAGGCTTACCTGCAGCGACATGGTCAGAAACTATACTGTCGGCATGTGAGCGAGCTGAGCGTTGGTTTCGACTCTTACCAGAAATGCCCTCAAGGAGCTTGGCAAAAAGCAAGCGATACAACATTGCTTCTGGAGATTTTCGAAGACTTCTGTGAGAAGCATGCTTCAATGGCCTCCGAGGATGCCATTTTGGGTTGGACGTATACTGCGGTAGCCAACCTGAATGCCTGTATCCGTTTGCTATACAAGAGTGGGCTGTGGATGACACAGCATCAGGCGCTGGATGCTTCATCTACAGGCATGAACTTTTTGAAGTGCTACGGCCACCTGGTTCATTTGACTTTCCAAGCGAACCGCGATCGGTTTCCAATCACTCCGAAGGTTCATTACATCCATCACTTGTTCATCGACCTGAAGTCCCAAGCTCGGGCTTCCGCCTGGACATTGAACTGTATCGCCTTCACGGTACAGATGGATGAAGACTTCGTGGGGGTGCATGCAAGAGCTTCAAGACGTGCAGGTGCCCAGTATGTCTCGCTGCGGTGTTTGCAGCGTTATTTGCTCTATGCAGGCGAGCGAATCACTCCCGAGTATCGCCGAACCTCTTGAAGTCTGGAGTGCATGTGCATGAAAATTCCGACCGGATCGTTCGAGGGATTTCTGCTTGCAAGGGCTCAACAACCTTTCCCAAACGTTTAAGGCAGGCTTTTTGTAGACCTTGTGAGGCAACGACTCAATAGCTTTTTCCCAGCTAGACTGACAAGACTCCGTAGATTCATCCCAGGCCTTTGAAGAAATACTCAACAGCTTTTCCCAGACTTGAAGCAACGGCTCAATAGCCCTTTCCCAACCAGACAGTGTAGCTTCTTCCCAGGCCTTTAAAGAACGACCCAACAGCCTTTTCCCAGACATTTAAGCAACGATTCAATAGCCTCTCCCAGATCTGTAAGCAACGACTCTACAGCCTTTGCCCAGGCCTTACGCAAGGATTCCATCAATCAATGTCTCAAATGGGGCAGACTCAGATCTCTAAGCAAACATCATGTTTGGATTGCATCATGTAACATCGGAGATTCCCAAGGGTCTATCTCGGCATACTTTTTCCGGCGCCATGGTTTATTCAAGGGTGTTCCGCTGTTTACTTTTTTTGCGACGCAAGGAAATTCTACGCCGAATCGGCGGAATAGAAAAAAGTATGCCGACGAACTTACTGGTAAACCCTAAACCCTCAAGTCCCCATAAATTGAGCTTGCGTATTACACCGTGCGTGGTATTCCATTACATTCTTTTCAAATTGAAGCAAATACACTTAAAATCATATCCTTGGATATGCATAGCCGCTTGCACAAGTTGTTGCAATCGAGTTTAAGTAAATTGAATTAAAAATTCCGCCACCACCACCACCAAAATGCAATCGAGTTTAAGTAAATTGAACCAAATCTACAAATACCAATACTAATAGGAGATTTAATTACTACTACTACTACTACTACTACTACTACTACTACTACTACTACTACTACTACTACTACTACTAACTAGGAAGCCATGAGAGAGACAGCAAAGAAGCCGGCACATGTGCGACATATGTCGTTCAGGGGCGCGGGGGTTGCCAGGACACATGTGCGACATATGTTTTTTATCCGGGGAGCGGGGGTAGCAGAACACATGTGCGACATAGGTTTTTTATCCGGGGCGCGGGGTTAGCAGAACACATGTCCGACATAGGTTTTTTAATCCGGGGCGCGGGGGTAGCAGGACATATGTCGCACATGTGTCGGCTGCTTCGTTTTACCAATCTCCAATTAGCGAGAGAACTGAAACGAACGCGCGCACACCACGAAACACATGTGCGACATATGTCAAAAAAGTCTTTGCTTGAGGCAAGCCCGCGTTGATTTTTAAAGGTTTCAAGGACATTTTGGATGATTTTGACGGGGTTTTCACGTTCGAAACTCGTTCGAACAGGTAGCCTTGCACTTTTTATTGTATCCGCAAGGTTTTTTTCAAGGGGGTCACTACACAGATTTCGGCTACGAAGCCTGAAACTTTCGTTTCAGAACACTGTGTTGCAGAGCAACTATTGGTCATCTACTGCCCCGGAGGGCTTTGAAGCAGAGAAGCTGCTGTAATGGAGCTGGTGTGGTCTCGTGTCTGTCGTCCATTCGGATCACAGGTGCGAGTTCTGGCACAGTGAAGCTCAAAACTGAAGGAAGCCATGCGAGAGACAGCAAAGAAGCCGGCGCATGTGCGACATATGTCGTTCAGGGGCGCGCGGGTAGCAGAACACATGTGCCACATACGTCGTTCAGGGGCGCGCGGTTAGCAGAACACATGTGCGACATATGTCGTTCAGGAGCGCGGGGATAGCAGAACACATGTGCGACATATGTCGTTCAGGGGCGCGGGATTGCCAGAACACATGTGCGACATATGTTTTTTATCCGGGGCGCGGGGTTAGCAGAACACATGTGCGACATAGGTTTTTTATCCGGGGCGCGGGGGTAGCAGGACATATGTCGCACATGTGTCGGCTGCTTCGTTTTACCAATCTCCAATTAGAAAGACAACTGAAACGAACGCGCGCACACCACGAAACACATGTGCGACATATGTCCCGAAATAATTTTTCAAAGTCCAAAACGCATTGATTTTCAACGGTTTCAGGGCCATTTCGGACTGTTTTGAAGGAGTTTTCACACTCGAAATCGGTTTAAACAGGTAGGTTTGTAATTTTTATTGTATCCGCAAGGTTTTTTTCGGGAGGGTCACCCACACAGATTTCGGCTACGAAGCCTAAAACTTTCGTTTCAGGACACTGTGTTGCAGAGCAACTATTGGTCATCTACTCGCCCGGAGGGCTTTGAGGCAGAGAAGCTGCTGTAATGAAGCTGGTGTGGTCTCGTGGCTGTCGTCCATCCGGATCGCAGCTGCGAGTTCTGACACAATCAGCCGCAAAATCTGAAGAAAGCCAGGAGAGAGACAGCAAAGAAACGCTGACCGAGACGTTGAAGGTGCCTTGTCTCGCGGAGCTGGAAGCGAACATCCCTGAACCCGACGCAGGGGTTGATCCCAGATCACCAAGCCCCTGATACCGCAACGGAAACACAGCATCCGATGCCGGCTGTGCAGGGACAACGCCCAACGGGCGTGCTCGAGAGATCTGCTCGAAGGAGTAGGTCGGAGGAGAAGCGGGGAGGCATCTAGTGGGAGCTCAGACGACGCCACCGTGCCCTACCCAAACACAAGATCGGGGTTGTCGCCCGATGGGCGTCGGCCAGCAATGGCGCGTCGGCCCATTGCTGACAAGGGGAGACAGACACGTGCCTTACCCTCCGCAGTGCGGTCGCCACAGCCGCTCCAGCGGCGTAGATCAGGGTACGAGGCGTTTCGCACACAAACGCACCACAGACGGTGGCGCGTCCTGACGTTGGGGCCAACAGCCCTGTGGTGAGAAGCTCCTCGCTCCGGGATCCAAGCTTCTCCGGGCGATGACAGCCGGACGATGCGCTAAGGTGCCGGTGTGGCGTCAGGGGTGCACTTGGCAACTGCACCGGTGCGGAACCTGCAAGGGAAGATCCGTTGGCATGCGCCGTTGTCGTCCTTGTGTCTGCACTCCACTCGGAGATCAGGTGCCAGCGAGGCATCGGCCAGAGGATGTGGGTAGTCAGTTTTTCCCCCACCAAGGAGGTTGGCCTTTTCGCGGCGTGCTAGGGGATAAGTAACCCTTCGCGATGCCACGACGTCGCAATGGGTGAAACGAACTGGACCTCCGCCCAAGCAGAAGGATAGAAGAAAGATCCAAAGCAAGTGCTATCGGCCCAAGACCGAAGTCCCGCCACAGAGCGCAAGAAAAGAGTGAATCCCAAGCGCTGAGGGAAGAAGCACTCAAAGCTGTGACCGTGAGGAACTTGAAACCTGCGGACGGCGAAAGATTTCAGCAAAGTGCTCGCGACATAACGATTCTAGGTGTCAGCTCAAGCGACAGCATCTGCGAGGGAAACACCGAGCGAGACATTGAGATCTCCACTACAGAAGAAACTCTGTGAGCAAGGAGATGCACCACATCATGCTTTCCCGCGCCTGTTGCGAAACCACTAGTCTATACCTTAGGCCTCAACTTCAATCCCGATGGTGGACGGCGCGGGCTAAAGAGCACCACCATCAAGTAGACTGGGCATGACTGGTTTTGTCAACAGTGAGGGCAGATGTAGGTTCACAACCCTTTACAGTTCGGCAGCTGTCTCCCTCGAGCTTGAAGCGATAGCATGAAGTACACAGAGGCACAGACGCTGGCAAACAAGCGATAGATTGAGCAAGACACGTCAAACCAATACAAGCAATACCAGCACATAATGGCAGCCGCGAGAGTGCGACAGCCGAACTGGGCGCGCAAGCTCCACCCCAACCGCGTGGCCCTGCAGCAACCTCAGCAGAAGCACATTAGCCAGTCCTGCCAGACCAGTGTGATCCTCGAGTCCACCAGGACGGAGGTGACGCTGGAGATCATGAGCGGAGAGTCAGTAAAGGTCAAGGCCCAACAGAACCGAGACACCAGAAAGACACCATCAAAGTGCCGCTCTTGCGCAGGTACCCTATGACTACAGGATCTGGCAGCTGAAAGATAGGGCAGCGAAACTCATGGGCTCGAGTCTTGGCAAGCTTCCGTGGTGCACGAAACCACCCAGACCCACAACCGAACCCGCCGATCAGGTACTTCAGCCGACACTGTCATGAAGGCCGTGGACACAACGAAGTCCAAGAATCTCGTGGGCCACGAGCGGTGCAGGTCGTCCTTTCGAACTTAGAGGACGCGTCCCGCCAACGAGAAGTAAGTAGAAGCCTCGAGCCAGGAAGCACAACCACCTCCTATTCGTGGCCATCGTCGACGGCAAGCCAGAAGACGACCTCTTGCCAAGACCTCAACACACGCAAGCAACACACACTAACCGGTTGTTGCACCTGTTTGACTCAGTTCCGGCCTCTACGCGAGCGACACTGAGTAGGCCCGGCCAAGACCGCAGCAGTGCGTGCGCGGACGGCCAAAAGGCAATGGAGCTCAGAGTTGCAAGGCGTGCCCGTTCACCCAAAGTAAGCCGCTCCTTATGGTCCTGATAAAAACTTGGGTGGGAAACAACCCCAGTGCCTTTCGAAAGAGAGGTCAAGTCGTCAGAGCGACTTGCACGACTGAGGTCAAGCCCCTTAAGCTCTGAGCGTCAGGGAAGTAAAAAGCAGAGCGAAGAAATGAGGCTCCAGCTATCAGTTACACAAGACGAAGGAGAGCGAACAACAAAAAAGAGAGAGACAGACAGATAAAGAAAGAGATGACAACAGAGAAAGAGACGTACAACAAGTAGATAAAGTTGTTCACATTCTTCTCAAGAGTGAAAGAGATGTGGATTGACAACTCTATGCAGTCCGACAGCGATCTTCATCAAGCTTCAAGTGATAGCAGAAGGTACGCAGAGGCACAGTTCTATGAGCAGCCGACACATTGGGGCCACACGTCAAACCAATTCAAGCAACACCAGCGAGAAGGACAGCCTCCACCAACATGGACCTAGGTCCAATTAAATGTGCCTTAGTTAATGGTTTAAATAAACACAACA